AGCATGGTCACTAAACTCTAAGGAGGTGGACCTTCCTGGCTGGGGTATAATGATGTTCCATTCGTCCCAGTCAACTTGTCTCCATGAGTGGTAGCAAGGCATGTGAGGCAGCAGAGTCAACGTGCCCAAATTCTTATCCTTGAGAGAAGTGTCCCACAGAGAGCCCAAACTCTCTATTAGCCATGTTGGATCTGCCTTCTTTGATTTATCTAGACAATTTGGCAAGTAATTATATATCTTGTCTGTAACACCTTCCACCTCCAAAGACAATCTACTTCAAGAGATTATTCCCTTGAAGGAATTATTTAATTAAGCCAGTCTTTATCAAATCAATACATTTCAGAGTTTATAGACATAGAACATATCTTTTTGTCAGTCTTCATGTTCCTAAAACAGAAGCAGGTACCTACTTCTAGAACTCCATTCCCCTCTCTCACCCTTCAAGTTATACTAGTTTTGATGTTTTCCAGCCCTGTTTAACTTATGTATTCATGATATTGATTGTATTTCTGATACACAGAGCACATGTTAAGGTGCACAAGAGAAAAGATACATATTTTACGACTCCCTGATGTCATTATGGGTGTTTAATAAACATTTGTCAGATAAATAATCAAAACAAAAAAGTCATTAAATGAGAAAAAGAATAGGAGGCAAACTTCACAGCTAGGAAAGATGGTAAAGTGTTCGAATATTTTAGAGTTGTCAGAAATCCTCATGCAGTGTCTGTGCTGGACAAGGGGGAAGGATGCAGAGGAAGGGTCTAGAATTTAATAATACATGCACATGATATCACGACAATCGTTTGAATGGAGAGTTGTAGGGAATATGTATCTGTTATTTGCTTTAGGAAGAAATATTAATGCACATTAAAACACTTCAAAACTGGATCCTTACAAATTATTTATAAAAAATAATTACATCTCTTCAGAAGCAATTTTAGTTTACCTGCAGCCTTTGTTTCTCTGACGACAGTTCTGAGAAACTTCAGAGTCTCAGCACTTTCTGCCCATATCAAAATGGTTGAAGTATTTTTTACCTGCAATTTCAATGCAATAGAAACCCCTTCCCCTCCATAAATTTCTTTGTTCTTATTACCAGTTAAGGTACTTCTATTTTAGGAAAACATATCTTTAATTATTTCTCCCAATTTCTTCTCACTTAATATTTTTACACTTAAAACTTAAGTTATGAGATTGTACTTATATATAGATTATTGTCACATTATAAATTTGGTATCTGGATAAAATAAAAATCTAAAACATTCCTATATATTGTTATAGGTACATGTATCTACAGTAAATGTTAAAAACAGGCACAGGAAGAATAATACCAGCTATAGGATAACGTTCGGCTCTGGGGGCGATTCCTCACCCTCTCCAAACACTCGCCACCATCCAAGCCAATGTTCTAAAAACATAATGTTGTATAAAAGTCAGAAGGGTGTTTGTTAAAAATGTAGATTCTTGGGCTTCAATTTCAGAAACTGATGAAGCAGGCCCGTGTTGGGGTTGACAAATATGTACTTGAAAAAGAACCCCACCTGATTCAGCTGCAGAGGATTAGAGGTCCACCCTAAGTCGGAAGTACTGAATATGCACAGCTGGCAGGTGGGTACATGAGCCCGAGGTTCAAGTGAGAGGTCAGGGCTGGGACATGATTTGGCTGTCTAATTGGCTGTCATTAGTCTGTAGGTGGAGTACAAACACTGGAAGTGGATGGGAATATCTAAGGGAGGGTGTCCAGAGGGAAGAGTGGTAGGCCAAGAGTGGAAAGCCAAACTGCAAGAGGCAGAACGAGGAGGAGTCTCCCAAGGAACAGAAGGCACAGCTAGAGAGGGAGGAAAAGAACGGAGAGCACCAGGGCACAGAAGCCAAGGTGGCAAAATTCGACAAGGAGGGCATTCCCACAGCACCAAATGAAACAAAACAATCAGGAAAGGGAAGGCCAGAAAAATGCTCATTGTCCATACAGTCTATTGGAGGCACTATAATGTTTGTTCTTGGAAGGTAGGGTTGTCACTGCATTCCCAGCATTGGACATATTGTAAATTCCTGCTAAATGTTTGGGGAACTAAATTGGATTGGCAAGGGCAGCTTCCATACGAGAATTTTACAGAGCTCAACTAAGCTCAGTTCCATCACATACCTTCATTAGGATGAGCAAATGTTATATGGACATAACCATCCACAATGGAGAATTAATTGTAACTAGATGGATAAAGCAATTATTTTGAGCCATCTGCCAAGATGTGGTAAGGATATTTGAAAAACGGTGCCCAGCCTCTGTGTGTATAGGATGGTATTCTGGACAATGGAGTTTTATCAGTAAGTTTTAAAAATAAAGCAAAGACCTTTAAAACCTTTAAATTTAGATTGTAAGGGTGTTTCTTTTCCCCCATAAAAATGATCTCTCATGATCATTAGTAGAAGTGTTTGTAGTCATGAGAAGAACAAACCACATTAGAGGAGGTAAATGACAGCCTAAGAATGCACAAGTGTTTGTTGTTATGACAACTGCTGGGTTTTATTGAATAGAGAGCAAAAAATCCATTAGAAAACCTTGGAAGAACTTGCACAGTAACATAAAACATTTCTGCTTCACAATTTCAGGAACTTTCCTCCATCCACGTACTGCTTGAAAAGGGTTTGTGTTTGTGCCAGTCGGTGGAGGTCTAAGGAAAGCAACCTCTTGATGCATTCCCATCATGCTAATGTCTCCTTCCATAACCTGATCTTCTCAACACCCAAGTACTTTATTAGAGTGGTAAAAAAATTTAGCCAGTTCTGTGGCTCTTTCGTACTAATGACGTTAAACAATTCTTGGCTCTGATCTATTTTTCTTTGAATCAAACAATTTTCACGTTTATATACAGAGACAACTTACATATATGTAGCAATTTCTTACCGCATGTGGCATATGCCTCCCCAGTCAAGAAAATACAGGGAGGGAAGAGACAATCTCAAGAAGACACCCTGCCAACCCTCTCCTAGGCTTCCTTTCTCTCTTGTCTTGGAGATCTACTAGTCTCCATTCCCCTTCTTGAGGTGCTAAAAGGACAAGGAAAGACTGCCAAGTTTTTCAGACTTCTTTTGAAGAACATCATTAAATTGATAGAATGGAGAGAGGCCCTATGCATGAGATGATAAAGGCTCTAGAGCAGCCACAGAGAGACCAGATGTCAACTGTGTGGCTTTCTCATAGGTGGCTCTAAGAATGTTTGGTGGAAGGGTTCTTGTGGTCATCAGGTGATAGCCTTTAGTCTAACGAGCTTGTTAATCTCATAAGAAGATGTTCAGGTTCTCAGACTGGACTGTGCATAGTTCATTCATGGGATTACCAAGTGATAGAGTGACCCATTGGAAGAGTCTTTGCTTTTTCAGTCTGTGCTGCACAATCCCAGCAGATTAATCTCAAAGCACCCCTTTCACAGCAATGCTTTCCAAGTTGTAGCTTGAGGCCCATTGTTGGGTCCTAACATCAATTTAGTGGGTTGAAACAATTATTAAAAGAAAAAAGAAGAAGAAAGAGAATAGGATAGAAAAATATCAGAATGAATCTCATCTAGTACGGGTAAATGTGTTTTGTGAAACTTTTATTTCATTTTCTCATTCTCTTTACGTATGTATGCACTGGATTGCTAGATTGAAGGCGTTTCTTACTGCAGGTCCTGGCCAAAAATGTTGGAAAGCCAGACTCTCTCCTGCTAAGAATACCGCAATGTTCTTTACTGTCTATAGAAAAAAAATAAGAAAGAAAAGAATAGAATTCCAGCTCCTTTTCTCTAGCGCTGGTATTGTTCCCCAAATCCACTCTCCACTTCCATAAGATCATGCTAGGTTCCAACATTCCTACTCACTGCCCTCTTGATGTCCTTGCTCCACTGTGCCTTTTGTTCATAATTCTTCCTCTCCTCTTTGTGGTTTTCATATTCTACTCTCCTTTAGGGACTACTCAAATCTTATCTTGCATATGATCTCTATCTCCTCTCATCACTCACCTCTTCCTAGCTGTTCTGCTTATTTCCACACATTTTCTCTCTCCAGGTGTCTTCTCTGCATTGTTCTTTATCTGCCTCCTGTCCAACTCTACTCCCACATGTCCTTCTGGCAACTTTCTGTGTCTGCCTCCCTCCCCCAGTTGCTTTCCTCTTGGCATCTGCCTCCTAGCTCATCATCTTTTAATTATCTGGTTTTTGTTCTCTTGTTATTTCTGCTTTCTTGTGTCTATCTCTACTCTCACACTTGACTGAGAGCAAACTGAGTCCAGGGACTGTGCCTCACACTTTTTTGCATCCCCTGTGATTTCAGGCACTGTGCAGGGCATGTAACAGGTGCTCAGTAAGAATGCCTTAAATTATTAGATCAATCATGATTCCCTTCTTCGCACTAAATCTCTGCAATGTTTTGTGTTTGAAATGGGTTTGCCATTTCTAGAGCTCTCTCATCTCTCCTATCTCAGTTGATCTTATCTTTAAGGACTTGGTAAAGTAGGCATGGGTTATGATACTCATTCTTGAGAGATGAGGAGATTGAGTTTCAAAGAGGATTGTAACAGTAACACTGCTTGTCAGTGCTGTCCCTTGAACCAGAATCTATAATGTGATCTATTCTGTGCCATTACACCCCTCCAACGGGAACTTGAGAACAACAACAATCTCACAATATAATAAAGTGCTTACTCAATGCAAAATGTTCTGTATGGAGAAAAAATCACAAAGCAATAGCAGGCAAGATATATCCTGTTTCTCATAGAATAAGAATTTGAATATCTTGTACTAGATGAAATTCTGGCTATTTTGCTTCTGTAATTGTGCATGGATTCTAATGATGGCACAAAAAGTAGGAGGAAATTGACTTACTACTTATGGAGGATGTGTTGGTTTCCACTGTCAGGTTGACAATATTTTCATTAAATTCACCCTAGCAATTAGCTGGGACTCTGTACAGTACTATAAATAATTACCAAGCTCTCTTTCTTGTTATTTGTTAGTTTCTTACCAAGCTGTTCTCCTAAATGCTGGCCTCTCTCGGTTGAGATGACCCGCTCATCTTCCATGTCACATTTGTTCCCAACCAGGATAACCTGGGCATTATCCCAAGAGTATGTTTTGATTTGAGTTGACCTAAAAGAAAAAGAACAGGCAAAAAATGATTACAGGAAAGCACAACAACATAAAATGAAGGAGAAGAAATATATCCCACAGATGACGATAATACCAAAAACTGAAGCCCAAATGCCTGACATTTAGAATTAATCATTTCAGTGCAATTTTATCCTTCAGATATTCATCAGGGATTGCATGAGTCAAAAATCAAGGGAGCAATGGTGTTGTATTAAGAATTCTTTGGTATTTGGTGAGATTAATATTACTACTGCTTGTTCCTTTCCCCTGTCTACCTCCACCTTATGTAGTACCTTTATAGTTGGAGTGGCCAGCCATCCCGATTTGCCCAAGATGTTCCCAGTTTTAGCAATAAAAATCTCACATCCTGAGAAGCCCCTCAGTTCCAGGAAACCCAAGATGGTTGGTCACTCTACGGCCCATTACACAAAAACATCATTTTCCCTTGTTACAATAACAACTTAAAGAGCTAAGGCAATTGGGAGCCAGGAAATCTGGGGATAATGATAGTTTTTTAAAACAAATCATAAGAACTAATATACTCATGCTTTACATTTTTAAGAGAAAAATGCCAAGTTGATTCATATCAGAATTTAAAATATAATGGGCTGATGGTTTAAGTTACTATAAACAGGATATGCAAAATTCCAAATAAGATTCCAGTATGGATCATGATGCACATAACCAACTTTTGATTTTGAAACTTAGATAATATTACAATAGTTAATATTTGCAGGTATTGTCCTCAACTCCTTATATATGTTACATTAATCTAATCCTTAGAATCAAGGGGGATATTATTCTCATTCCCAATTTAAAGTTGAGGAAAACGAGGTATAGAGAGGTTAAATAATTTGCCCACGATCCCTCGGCCAGTAAAGTGGCAGATCTGGAAATGAAACGTGGGTTGGAGAGCTATCAAACCCGTACTCTTAAACGTGTGTCCACGCTACCCTTGAAAAGTTTGAGAAGGGAAGTTCTCCTGCATTTGCTGTCATCTCAGAGCGGAGGCTGAAAGGAAGCCATGTTCTTAATCCTCCCTTTATATTGGCCATGTTCTTATTGGAGAACAATCTAAGATAGGTGGGAAAAACATCGCTCAGTGGGTGGTCAGGAGAGAGATACTGAGATTTGTACAGTGTCGAAAAGAGAAGTTTGGGAATGTTCTTACTAGCAATTGCCAAGTCCTTCAGGATTATTAAATAGAAAATAGTGACGAGCTGTTCTCAACTTGAAGAGAGAATAAAAGCAAATAGCTTTAAACTGCAGCAGGAGAGCTTTCAGTGAGATGTGATCACTGTTTCTCCCTCCTGAGAAGAAAGGAAAGAGCTAAGATGCAGTTAGACTCCTAGGGTTTTATTTTAGAGTATTCAACCAAACCAAGTACAAGTTTTCAAATAAGATTAAAATATCTGGTGAAATATACTCTTGGTTCCACATGAACATCTCAGAGGCACATCATATTTTATTAGAAAAATCTGAGGATGTGACCTTTCTAACTCCAATACCTAAGTTAATAATATATTTCGCTACCAACAGTGAGATTCAGCATGTATCCATAAACTGGGAAAATAAAGGCAGATGTTCAAAACTCTATACTTTTCCCTCTCCTCATTTTATGTTTGGGGTACACAAAAAATGATGAATTCATAGTGAATTAAGGTGTAAAAAATATCCTCCAGATGGATAGGTACACCTTAAATCTCAAGTGCTAACATAGTTTTACAAAGAAATTCCAAAGGTTCTTTTAAAGGAACTCAAATCTAAATGGATTTCCCTAGGCAATTTTTTTTTATTACCTCTCTGCTCCTGTAGGTCTTATAAGCCAAAGCATGGCCTATGCCTGGAAAGGCGCTATGTTAACGCAGAAAGTTCTTATCCTGGCACACAGCTAGAAACCAAATATCCAGCAAAAAGGTAGTGAGACACGGGGCTGGCCCCGTGGCCGAGTGGTTGAGTTCGCGTGCTCCGCTGCAGGCGGCCCAGTGTTTCGTTGGTTCGAATCCTGGGCGCGGACATGGCACTGCTCATCGAGCCACGCTGAGGCAGCGTCCCACATACCACAACTAGAAGAACCCGCAGCGAAGAATATACAACTATGTACCGGGGGCTTTGGGGAGAAAAAGGAAAAAAATAAAATCTTTAAAAAAAAAAAAAAAAAGGTAGTGAGACAGAAGTCATAAGAGTGTCATAGTTGTGTCAGGAAGGGGTTGGGGCTAGGATGTAAATGACACTGCTTCCTGAGTTTACTGAGGACGATGCTTGCTTGGGGAAATTTAGCACTCCTCTGACTTCGGCAAACTCATCCTACTGCACCCCTGACGACATATACTTAAGCCAGGGTGTGCATTTATGAAGGTAAAGAAGAAACAACCCAGCTAGCCGATTTGTGCTCTTTAACCAAGTTAATGGAATGCCTGTTTCTGCCATTTAACTTGTCTGAGTATCTCAGTTCTGCTGACTTGATAACCCATGGAGTCTTAGGCTACTGTGATAGATTATACATTTATGCATACACAACATTCCCTGTTTCCTAACAATTTGTAACAATACATGGAAAGAACATATATATGTATATACCTACATATAGAGAGATAGATAGATAGATGTAGAGAAAGAGAGAGAGAGAGAGAGAGAGAGAGAGGGAAGGAGGAAGGGAGGGAGGGAGCCATGACTATATCAGAACCACTCCCTTCCCTTTGTTATTATATCAGACATATTTTAATGTATCCTCTTCAATGTCCTAAATTGCCAAGGAAATCATGTAAAGTGAATATTGTCTGTCATTACCAGGGAATTATAAAGAATCATTATCTTGAAAGTTTAAAGAGCCAACAGAGACTATTTCTCTTTTTAATCAAATAGGAATTGTGGTCTGGAGCATTTGTGATGAGGTAATCAAAAGATTAATTTGCCAACAGAGTTGGTTAACCTCACGTTTGGAATTAGGGCTGCAAACACTCAATGTTTGGTTTTGACTATTTTGGATTTCTTGATGATGTCCACCATCAACACAGAGCAGCTTTAGGCAAAGTCCAATCACCAGCTAGAGGTGGTCAGAACCATGCTGGTTGATTCATGAATTACCATATTTCATAGACTCTAAGATGCCATAAATTATAAGTTAAAAATTATTTTACAAGTGGCCAAGAACAAAAAGAAGCAGCCAATGAAACAATGATACAATGCTTTAACAATAGTCCTGCTAGACGCACTTTGTCACATCAGATTTTTGTTGCTTTGAAATTTCTTTCACGTATTCTGAGGGATTTAGCAATTTTTCCTATCTTCAGTTACTTTGCTTAGTACATGATAGATAATCATTCCAGGACTATCTCAATAACAAAAGTCAACATACCCATCTACTTGTGGATATCTTCCTTTCTTAAGTCCTGCAGAGCACTAGGTTGTTGGTTTGCAAGAAAATATGAAATGATGGTATTACTCCAAAATGAGCATTCACATCACTAATATAAAATTTATAACCCTTTCTGCATACACAATAACTTTCTACCCCCATACCAAAAATTCCACCACTCAATTGAGGTAATGACAATATAAGTAGCTATGACCAAGTTAGTGCAAGCACAGGCAATGAAATCCATCTTTGATACTGCTGCCTAGCAATTATAATAAGCCATTAATCATACAACACAGCCCAATTTCAGAGATGTAAAGATACTAAAAATTACGCATCTTAGATTATTTAAAATGCTATTGTTTTCTTTGAATTTCTTTTATGTATGAAGACCTAGGTTGCAATGAGAGCTCACATTATTCTCTTAACTCAGGAAAACTTGTAGAGGAAGTATAAGCGCCATGAATTGAGCAAGACTCAGAGGTGTGCATATTTTATCTAGACTGTGATATGGATTAAGGTCAGAAGAATGTTGGGATGGTAGTCCAATTCCCATACCTTTCAACTCAGAATCCAAGACAATTTATTCAGCCAACTTAAAAGAAAGCTCGAATATGAAGTGAGTGTGAGGAAGTCATTCTGCACCCTTAGCCTCAGTATCTTCATCTGTAAAACAAGGCTACCACATTTTGTACTTACTCTCTGGGGCTGCTGTAGGACAAATGTGGTTTCAACCATCTCTTTACAAATAGAACACATTATTAGCCACAGCTTAGGCAGCCAGCTGTTCCTCCTCCCAAATCCAGCTAAACTCGTCCTTTCTAATTCCTATATTTTAAACAATAATTGAAATGTTTTTCATTAAAGAATCTCAAATTTTGCCTGCAGTTCATATGTCAAGGCTGAGGTCCTACGAGTAAATTTCTAACTGGGAGCGAACAGCCTTTCTCTGGCATGTCTATTAGGAATATGACACGTTTGTTGAATATATTTTCCTTTCATATGGCATTTCTGTGTATTTACTTTTTTTGGTCATTTACTATATTTTCGTAAAATTTCTTATTTGGGGGATAGGTTTTTAATCACCTCATTCGGGACTGTCTTGTTTCTCTGTTGGTTAAAGAGACACATTTAAAGAAAGTGGCTGTCACCAAATAATATACATGTGAAAAGATGATTTATTTCTGAATCACTGCGAAAGATCCTTTGGGATTTACTGTTAATCTCAACAAGATTAATGGAATCAGAAGCAATATGCTGGTCACCATGGTTACTTTACAAATGGCAATTCACTCAGATGTTACCAGTACCAGATCATAGTTATTAAAAAATCTGTTATTTGTCATTTAGCTAAAAACAAAAACTAAACCAAAACAATCCTTCCTCTCTCTCTATATATATTTATATTTTACATATATTTTATATATAAATAAATATTATATATTTTCTATATAAACATATATATAGAGAGAGGGTTTTTGTTGTTTTTTGTTTTTATTTTATATCATGAGACAGAGGGAGATGAAAAGAGTTTTTCATATTTCACTTAAAAATGACTTAACTCTGTACAGAATAAAATAAGTTGGAGAGCTGTAAACAAACAGACAAATTCCTACAATATCTTTATTCCTTTTCTCCTGTT